CCCCAAAACCCCAAAACCCCTCAAAGCTAAATCATAGAAAAAAGAAGAAAAAAATAATATCTATTCCAATATAATTAAAATCATGAACTTTCAAGGAATTTATTAACTTCTGCTCTAAATTTTTCAGTTGAATCCTCATAATCAATAATGAAAAGCATTTTATTTGAAATTTCTACCTGCCTTTTTAAGCTCTTAAATATCTCTAAAATAAAATTTAATCTAAAACATTCTAAGACTTACTTAGGAAGAAAAGACTAAAAAGTATAGCAATAATTATTACAAAAGCAATAAAGAGTATGATAAATAGTCTTAGAGTACTTTCATTGTAATCGATCAAAATCTTAGTCAGTTTATCCTCCACAATAAAGCAAGGTCTTGCCAGAATTCTAACTCCTACATCCAGCAAGATAGTTAGTTCTCCTTACAAATGATCAAGCAAGTATGTCATATTTCTAAGGCTGCCATTTTTGTAGTTAAAAGAGATATTCTCTTAATTTATGAGATTTATTGTCCTATACATGAAGTTTTACAAACCTTGCTTAGCCATTCCACCAACCAAAGTATCACACTGCTATCTAGTAGTGTTGAAGATTGAATATTCAGAAATATCAGAAACAGAGTTACTATCGTAGAAATAGTTACAAAACTGATCATTCTCCAAGTTAGTTAGTTCAGTTCTTATTTAGTCTAATATTGCATCACTTCCCTCAATTATATCTTTTCTATATTCGTTTTCTTTTATCTGGATTCTAGATAATGAATAAGGGATCCAAGCTATTTTTCCTAAGTTAACCATAATAGTCTTATTCTGGGATAAGCTTTCCATTATAGTAGTGAATGCTATCTCAGCTGCAGATTTTCTTTAGAATATATTCTGCATATTAGTCACATTTTTCTAAATTTGTGAAAGACTTTGTTTTGTCAAGAAGTAAATGATAAGAAAGTAGCTACTTATTATCACAGTGATGATAAACGTATAAAATACGAATATGATTTTCTTCCTCTTAATGTATTGATTAAATACATCTTTTACTAATGCTTCTTGATCCAATGAAGATTTATTATTCTTGCCTTACTTTAACTAAGGATCTTCTTCATCTTCCTCTGATTTACTTTCAGACATTTATTTTTTATCCTTTTTATTTTAACCCTTTGACTGCTCATCTTCATCTTAGGAGTTGATATTTTTATTTTTGTTTTTATGACTATTTCTATGTTGCCTAATATTATTCTTTAAGTTTTAAAGGATCATATCTTGCTACTATTTAAATTCTTCTTCATAATGTTCTTCGTTTATAGATTATTCATCCTAAATTTTATCAGAAGATTCCTATTTTTTAAGTGATATAAATGTAATTCTTCTCTCAATTTATTTCTATTTATGCATTTCAATATCTACAAGAATTATTAAAATCATAAATAAGGAAGCTTACCATGCTCTATTTTCTGATAGATTGCAAGTTCTCTGCAGATATGAATAGAATTTACATATAAATTTTAGTTTTCAATGTATTTACAAATGCTGATTATCATAGAACTCACTAATTCTTTATCAAGGTTAAAGAAAATCTTCATTAGCTTCTATATTCTTTGATTTATTCTAATGACTAATGGTATGATAATTAGTCCACATGAAACTACTACTCCAAAGCAGATGAGATTAATTTTATTAAGAAAGTCTATTTTAGATTCAATCTCAGCAACTTTTTTCAAGGTATAGGCTGTTGAAAAATCTCGAGAACTATCATAGGCATTCATATTTTGATTCTAAATTATGAAATAGAGCTATCTCTCTGTCAAAGAAGCAGTACTAACTTTATCTTTGAGATTGAATAAATTCAGATTATTGTTATTTGTTTTAATTAGGTCTTCACCTTTTTCCCTTATCTAAACTAGTAAGTCATGAAGATTATTTGTATACATCTACCAGATTAAGTTATAAGATTATTTCTCTACTTAAATCTAATTGAAGCTATTTAACTGCCACATTTAATAATCTATATCTGTAACTACATTTTTCATGTTAAGCATATCAGTTTAATTTTTTAATTTTTCAACTAAAAATTCTGAAAGTCTTTGATAGTAAGCAAATCTATTTTCAATTACTTAACTTGACTTTTCTGAAAACCCGTTTACAATGTTCAGCATTGTACGGACTGATGGTCTCAAATATCTAAATGTGTTCATCCGACTTTGACTTATCTATCCAACTTAAACAATGTCTAATGCATTATCTAAATTCTACTTTGTGTAGTAGAGATCAATAATACTAGTAATCAGAATAATTGCACAAACTAGAATAACTATCTAGAAAATGATTCTCATTGTTGTAGGTAGCCTAAACTCCTTACTTTTTTTGGAAAACTTCTGAAAAGTAAAGTATTCGGAGCTCATTGTGCTTGTGGAAGTATGTGTGGTTGAAATACTTTACATTCCTGTACCATCTTATGAATGAGATACCATTGATTTTTAATCAGGTTAAAGTTAAATATTTTGGCTATCTTTCAATGAATTCTAATGATTTAATGTGCCAGCTCTTACCATTATTTATTAAATAGATGCATTAAATTTCAAACTTTTAGGATCATCTATATTTTACTCTGTCATTCTATTAGCCTAGATATTTTCTATGGCAATAATATACATTTCCACATTTGTATTTAGATACTTATCTTTCCAAAATTTCAAGTTATATAGTTAAGACGTTTCAATATTAGTTAGGGCTCTAGCTTCTTTTAAGTTGCAATCAAGTTAATCTTGAAGAATGTCTCTATTAATTTCTTGTAATCTAGAAAATACTTAAATGTTCTAAAAATTGGAATCTTCAAGGGACTTATGCAAATCATCATTTGCTAAATTTTCTGCTAAAAACAAATCATCTATCCTGATAGTTTAATTTTGCTATTCTTTTATTATTCTTAGAGTATTATGGTTCAATGATAACACTTAATCGCATCCTTCAGAAATTTCTTTTACCTAGAATCTGTTATCAGCAATGATGAATCCAAATTGATTTCTTATTTAGGATTCTTCCTCTAGAAAAGGATTAATCTCACAATCTTCTTCAATCATCATAATCATATTTTTTGTATTTTGAAAGTTAATTATTAAGTAAAGGTAAACTGGCAAAACATATCCTGATTTTTGTTTAATAAAGCTCTCTCTTTTTTTGTTGATAATGTTAGTCTTTCCTTTTCTCATAAAATCCAAAATAAACTTTTAATGATTGTCAGATATTATCTCAGGCATTATTTTGTTTAGCTGCAATGTTTACTGCATGCTTAAGTCATATTAAGTCAATTTTGTTGCATGTTTATTCATCTAATGGATAAGCATATCCTTCTTAAAGCTAAATTATGTTATGATAAAGGCTTTTTCTTATTTTGCATAATCTTTATCAAAATCTTGATTAGATAAACGCTTTGTTTAATAAGCCAGTTTATATAGTACTAATTCATCATAAGCTTCCTTATTCTTAAATAATATCTATATGTAAAAAAGAATTTTATATTGATAGTTCTTACAAATTTAAAGAATGAGGCCATTAGTAGATACAACTTAAAATCATTTTTATCTTATGCAAGTTCTTTGATTTCATCATAAATATTTTTTATTTCATCGATTTCATTTGTAATTACTTCACCTTCTAAATATAGATTTACTTAGTTTCTTGAACTATATAAATTTTGCCAAAATTAAAGTAATGCATCGCTGGTTATCTCAAATCTCAGACTTAACTTTGAGTAAAGTTGATTCAACTTAACCATTTAAAATAAATCAATGTGATTTACAGTTTTACCAACAACACTATTTATGGAATTAGATTGCTCTTTTTCTCTCATTAGTTTCTCAAAATATAACTTGTTGATAAGTATTCTATTCTTGAGAAAGAAGTTATCCTTAAGTTGAGCAGAAATTTCCATCATTTAAAAATAGGCTAAATGCATGTTGCGTTTAATGATGAAGCTATAATAGACTATTAAAATCTGAATATAAAGATTTTTCTTTAGAATATTATCTCCTTTCCCGATAATATGATGTTTGAAAAAGTGCTTAACATATCTATTTATTGCTTTTGAGAGGTTCTTTTTTTTATTTTTTATAAATTTTTTATGAGCAACTGCAGGAGTGTCATCCATTTTATTTTATTATTCCTCTTTGTAATCAATTGGTTAAGTAAAGAATTAGCTTTTCCAGATTGATTTCATGCCAAAACTTTAATGAAGTTTAGAATTTGCTGAGTTTGACTTCGATTTTGATTTCAAATTATCACCAAAGTTATAGTTATTGCTCTTGAGAGTATTAAAACCCAATTTACTCTTACTATTGATATTAAAAGCTGAATTTAAATCAAAAGAATTCTCATCTATGTTGAAACCTTTGGTTGGATTATAATTTGATTTAGACTCTTCAATATCTAACTAACCAGAGATAAATGTCATTTGATTTCATAATTTAAAAATTTGAGTATCCCTTAGATTTTACAAGTGTTGTTATTCTCTCTGTCCATTTTTAATTCGATTTTAATATTATAGCTTTTTTTGAAAGGATTTCTCAAATTTTCTATAAAAGGAAGGACATTTTAATTGGTGAGTGATCGCTTTCTGAAGAAGATTCAGTTAATCTTACTTGCTCGTGGAATCCTTTAACTCAATTAACATTACCAATGCATTATAAATTTCTTTGTAACTTTCTTTTAGAGAACTTAATTCTTGCTATTCTAAGCACAGCAATGTTCTAGATTTATATTTAGATGTTAGATACTTAGTAAGTGCTAAGTTTACAGGAATCAGAGCTAAAATGTATAGGAAGTAATAGTCATTATCTTAGGCTTGAACAAAAATCAAACCAATAAGCAAATGCAAAATAAGACCATCCATTATTAAAGAGCCATATTGTATTTTAGGATTTAGCTAAATACTAATTTTAAGTCTAAAGTATACTTTCTAAAGCATCAGGACTAATGTAGCCAATGCTAAGCATTCAATAGTCCAATAATTAGTCCTCTAATTAAAAATAATAATCAAACCTATCTTTTACAATTATTCTAGAAAATATGGCACTGGACTTGTTTCAGAGAATGGAAGAATCATGTTAGGAACAATGAGGTTGAAAAAATATCCATTAAATAAGCACAGTAGAATGAATAGAATAAATGTGATGCAGACCAGAAATACATTGAGGTAGCTTTGGAACTCCCCTTGAATTATTTGAAGATGAAAAATATTAACTACCGTTATCCATATTACATATGTTGATATTATGCTCCTTAAACTAGTAAATTACAGAGAGACTAATTTGAATGTTATTTTATTTTCTTCTTTTAGGTAATCATCATCATCTGATTTTAAGTAAAGAATAGCCATATATATGATAACATGCGCAATGTAACAGAAACAGCTTAGTTAAATGTAAAATACGTACTACTCGAATATCCTCTTGAATTATTCATCTACGATTTCTCTAAAACTATCATTAGCACCGCTGTGTTTGTTATTCTCATAAAATATTAGCAAAGTTAATAATCCTAGTTGCATAGAGGTATCAATAACCATGAGGATCAGATAGAAGATTGTATTGATTATATTATTGTTTATAAATGCCCACATTATCAAAGAAAATCTTGCATTTCTCTTTTCAAAGAAGCTCTGATCCTAGTAGTCTAGAGAACTGTCACTTATCTCTTTCATAATTAAATCTTTACAAATTTATTAATTCAACATTCCTGCTAAACCCTCAATTAATAATTAAGTTAATTGAATCTATTATTTTTTTCAATATGCTCATTCCCCAAATTTTAATTCGATGGGGTTTTGGGGTTTTGGGGTTTTGGGGAATGAGCATATTGAAA